TTGAAGTTATTAAAGTGTTCAACCACTGAGCTACCCTCCTCCATCTTAATATTCGATAACCTTCTCATCAAAAGGACTTTATTATAAGCTGAAGGCTTGTCATACATTATTTTTTAATGCTGCCATGAGATCAACAAATGTCTTCTTATTCACAATGTTGAAATTAACATAAGAGAAAAGTGGAAGTGGGATCAAACTTAGTGTTATTTGATCAAGAACTTCCAATTCTTTCAGAGTGATCAATTCCAACTTCTTAGTGATTTCTTCCAGTGAAAAATGAAGTGTTTTTTTTTTTATATAGCAAGCCTTCAATTTGCATTTTCTTCTGGGACAGCGCCTCTTATTTTTTGCCGCCCATTCTCAATCTATTCCGATAACCCGCAAGTCCCTCCACCCCAAAGAAATCCTCTCATCTCCATCTCTTATCTTCCAAAAGAAATGGCGTCCTCAATGAAACAAGAGAGAACTTACTCCATCCTCATTCTGTTTCTCTGTGTCATCCTCCTCCGTTGCCCTATAAGTTCGCTCCAAGACAGAGACGACTATGCTCCTCCCTTCTTTGTTAAGAACATCACATTCATCGGAAGCTTCCTACTCATGAACGAATCTAGGCAGCTCTCTACAATGGCAGCCGTCGTCTTCTTCCTCAGAGTTCCATTCCATGAAACGAAAGCAAACTCCACTGTTTCCTTCGGCACAGAACCAGTTCTTGCAGTGGAGTTTGCTCCTCTGTTTATTTCAAATTATATTTTAATGTTCAAGAATGGAGTTCTGGATACACCTGGTGTCATTCACCACAGAAGAAACAAATATCTGACCATCCGGCAGCTTCTTCACCATATAAATCGAATCAAGAAGCCTATCCTCTCTGCAAAATCCAATTTTGGTTTCTCAGCATCCACGCAGAATCGAAATGGCACCAATCTGGAAATAAAAGACTGGAGCTTTCAAATCATCAGTTCTGATACTTCTCAATTTGAGTTTTACGGGAACAAAGACATTGTTCTTGCGTCATATACACCTGTGCTTGCCGTGATTTCCTTGTTTTCAGCTTTCTGGTCTTATTTTAAGAAAATATTCAAAGACAAGGAAGATACTACTCCAAACCCATATCAGGATTCTTCCATCTCTAGCCTTTTAGTTCAATTTCGCAGGTTCACATACAGTGAACTAAGCTCTGCAACCAATTTTTTTCACCAATCAGAGCTGCTGGGAGAAGGAATAGTGGCTTCAGTCTACAGAGCTTCATTTCCTGGATCAATCAATACGTACGCAGTAAGAAGATTCAACACGAACTTCTCCAGTAAGAAATGCTATGAAACAGAGGTCAGAACAATCCATTCTCTTCGTCATCAAAACATACTAGAGCTCAGGGGATGGTGTAATGAAAACCCAAATGAACCATTGCTTGTATATGACTATATGCCCAACAGAAGCCTCTTTGATCTTCTTTCAACTGGCAAATTTCTCTTATGGCCACATAGATTCAATATTGTTGTAGGAATTGCTAAAGCTTTAGTGTATCTTCACCATGAATGTAATCCATCTGTGATTCACTCAGATATCAAAGAAGAAAAGGTTTTGCTGGATGCTGAATTGAATCCAAAATTAGCAGACTTTGGCCTGTCATTACGTTGCCAAAATAAATTACCATTTCAGCATAATGAATGGGCAACACCGAAAATTGATGTTTTTTTATTTGGTTCATTTGTGCTTGGGCTTTGCTGTAGGAGGACTGAGGGATACATGGATTTTATTGGAAAACTCAGGAAGCTGAAATTGGAAGACAGACTTGTTGAAGCTGCGGATGAGAACTTGGTTGGAAATTACAATGAGGAAGAGATGCTGAGGCTTCTAACAGTGGGTCTGGAGTGTATGGATGAAGAAATTGCTAAGAGGCCTTCAATGGCGGAGGTACTGAAAGTACTTTTAACTTGAGGGAGAGGTTGAAGATGACAGACATTGTCTCGTAATTGAAGTAAATGAATGAGGTCAAAGTGAACGCAGAACCTTCTCTGCTATTATATCGAGCGTTTCTCTTCCTCTGGTGCACTCCTGGTCTCGTGGCCGCATCTTTTTCCTGAAAATAAGCCGGAGGATGGATTAGGGTTAGGGATTAGGAAAAGGACTTTTATGATCAGAGTATTAGTTGTAATTTTACTTTTATGCCCTTCGTTATTCTTCCTTAATTGCCATTCCTTGAGTTTATATATACAAGACATGAAGTATTAAGTATGTGAGTGTAATAAGAAAAGTGTACGTATCTTTTTTAAGACTTCATTTCCATTTATCTTCTACTTTTATCTTCTTCAAGTTGATATCAGAGCCTCAGCCTCATCGCTCCAAATGGATTCAAATTCCATCACAACCGATCAAGAAAACCAACAAGCACCAATGTCTTACAACAAATTTAAAGAGATAAGTGTTCCAAACACTCTTAAATTCTTGATGAATCAAATTAGAAATATGACAGAAACTTGTCTAACTCGAGAAAACTATCCCATATGGAAAGACTAGATATCAAAATTGCTTAATGTAAATGAGTTTGACTCATTCTTGAATACCTAAACCTCCCCTCCTTCCAAAATTGTTGCAGATGATAATGAAATAGTGAAAGAAAATCAAGCTTATGCCACCTGACACATGTAGAAACATGGCTGCAACAATCGTTTCTACCATCTCACCATCAATTCTCTCCTACATACTCCATTTAAACACTACTCTTGAGATATGGAAAACTTTGGAAAAGAGGTTTCGGGCCTCTAAAAGATCTTGGGTTATTCAATTAAGAAATGAACTACACAACCTTACTTTGAGATCAAGCACCATGACACAGTCCCCCATTACACAAATCAAATAAGGTTTTCTACCAACTCCATTCAGTGAGCTTTGCCTCCAACAACTATTACTTGTTCCTAATCTATCCCATAGTCTACTCTATGTTAAATAACTCATTGTTGATAACCATTGCACACTTGCCTTTGATGTTGCTGGTTTCAAGATATTACCTTACGAGTGTATTATAAGGTTTATTTCTCTGGGGTCCCATTCCTACAAAGGCAAGCTTTCATAGTTAATTACATCTTTAGAGCTGTGAGCCCTAAAGAAAGCCTCTCAATTTATATGACAAGTTAGGTTACCAAAGATCGAACTTTCATGATCGGAAGGGGAGTCTATTTGAGAGTATTTAGGCTTTTAGTGACATTTCATGGGAAAGGCTCGAGATGTAGAAATAGATTTAAAAGATTTGATGAATTGGAATTGACTAGGTGAAGTCAGAAGATAGATTAGGGATGTTGGATTTGACTGACAAGAGTGATTAGGAACACTAAGCTAAGGATAGAGATAGTCAGGAAAAAAAATTTTGATAGAAAATAAAATCTTAGAATTTATAAGAAATTTTATCAGCTAACTAACCAAAATTTTGGGAATAACATTTCTGGTCAAATGCATGTGGCTTTCTGTCATGCCGGGATTGTTGGTATCCGTCAGCCATGACAAGCTTCATAACCAAAAATCTCCCTTAAATGCCAGAGCATGGATGATTCATAGTTTCAAAATTGTCTAAAATACTTTTGTTAGTAACCATTGGTTACTTCATTTTAAGGTATTCACTCTAGTCTCAAAGGATAGGTTTGTTATTTCCCATGTCCTAGTCCTTAGCACTTACCAGATAATTAAACTAACCTACGCTTCTAGGCTCAAAATAACCTAGGGAAAGTTTGTGGCCCATGGTTTGGTGTTTAAGTTAGCTAGCCTAGAGTTTTTATCAAATCTACTTAGGTTTTGTTCTTGTTCTTTATTTTGGTGTGTTTTAGTTGTTTATTTGAAGTTCAATATTTAAATTAACATCTTGTTGGGTTCCTAGATTTTCCATTTATGTTTGAGAAATTAGAGTTTTTTTAAAGTTTTGTATTTTGTTTTTGTTTGAAGTTTAATTTTCTTGTGTTTGAGGAGAAAACTGAGAAGTTACGATCTTTTTTTTTATTTTTTGTATTTATTTATTTATTTAACATAAAATAACATATGAACTTTTTAACATGAAGTAAAATATGAGTTTTTGAATATGAAGTAACACATGAAATGAAACATGAGCATGAAACGACATATTAAATATGAAATAACATATGGGTTAACACATACAAAGTAACACTTAGCCTTGGATTAGACTTGGGCTAGGGTCAAGCTGAGTTGAGCTAAGTTTTCAACTTAAGTTAGCTCAGGATTGAGCTAAGACGGTGTATAAGTTGGGTGGCTTGAGCCTAGGCTGAACCTAAGCTAGCTCGAGTTAAGATGGATATTGTTAGATTTTGTCCCAGGTTAAGCTTGGTTGACCCATTTTGAGTTAAATTTGATTTAGGTTTGATTTGGGCTAAGTTGGGTTGACCCGAGTTATGTTAGGTTTGGTTTGGGTTTGACCTGGATTAAGCTTGGTTGACCCAGGTTAACTAAGGTTTGAATTGGTTTTGACCTGGATTGAGCTGGTTGACCCGGGTTGGGTTGGGTTTAGGCTAGACCTAGGTTGGGTTAGGTTTATGGTTTGAGTTAGGTTTGGGCTAGACCTAGTTTAGGTTAGGTTTGGGCCAGACCTTGGATGGGTTTGGTCTAGGGTTTGGGTTAGGTTTGTTTATGTGAGTTTGGATTAGGCTGGGTTTAGGTAGACCCAAGTCGAGCCCAAAGCCAAGCCTAATCCAAGGCCTTTGAGTTGATTAACCTAGCTTTTAGACTTTTAAATAAAAATTCTTAAATTAAGGAAAGAAGGACAATACCGAGAGGAGAGGAGACTTGTCGAAGAGTTGCTTCCCTTCTTCTTCTCCCTCTGCATTTCTTCTTCCTCTGCTAGTAGTGCCCAAATCGTCACATTCCTTATGTTGGAGACACCTTTTATAGGTTTGGAAGGCAGTGGCAGGACCCTTTGAAGTCGTCTGATGAGGCGGAGGGCTGACGACGGAGATCAACCCAACGATTAGAGAGCCACAGAATGCTACCAGTGAAAGGGTACGACGATTCGTAACCAAATCCAGAGATAAACTCCATGGATCACTGACTCAGCTTGCCTGGGAGTGGTCACACCCATGGCTGGAGTGACCAAGTCGAGGTACTTTGGGGCATGGTCACACCCAGGCCTAGTGTGGCCATGTCAGACAAAAAATGGGCAGGGTTCCCTTTTAGCCAATTTCATAGTGTCAGACCATGAGGTGATGTCCGTGCAAGTCCTTTGTGACCAAAAAAAAGTGGTCAAAAACTATTATATTCAAATTATTGTGAATTTTTTATGTTTTTAAAATATCTTATAATTTTTTTACGTAGGGACAAAATTTCCAGTAATTGAATGATATTCATCAAGAGCGCATTCAGATGACTAAAAAATAATAACTTCTTTTAAATGTGAATGGTGAAAACCTTAAATTTGACACTAGATCAAAAAATTTAAATGAAAATCAAACTGTAATTAATTGAATAAAAAATTATAAAAACTTCAATAAAAACATCAATCAAATCAAATCTTCGGGTTTGGTGTAATTTCTCCTCAGGTTTCCTTCACCTTAAATTAGCTCTCAGCTTTGATGTGTGTCTTAATATATATATATAATGACTTTTTGTTAGAAGAGTAAAAAAGTAAACATGTGATCATGTTTAGGTTGGCACTTTAGTAAACAAATAATAAGCTTTGTCTCTCTCTCTCTCTCTCTCTCTCTCTCTCTCTCTCTCTCTCTATATATATATATATATATATATATATATTGAAAGCCCGAGGGCAAGTACATTAATTAAAGAGAGGTACAAGGGGTTTAGTGAGTGGGTACAAAGATACACTCACAAGGTATACAACTCACTCAAAAAGTATACAACTCTCTCTCTCTCTCTCTCTCTCTCTATATATATATATATACATACATACATATATATAAAGAGAGGTACAAGGGGTTTAGTGAGTGGGTACAAGGATCCACTCACAAGGTATACAACTCACTCAAAAAGTATACAACTCTCTCTCTCTCTCTCTCTCTCTCTCTCTCTCTTCATCATTGATGCTTGGTAGGAAGCCAAACACTGTTGTTTATTAACTTCTTGAGAGGGAAGCAACTGAAGTAAAACAAATCTGCCTTCTTCACATATATTTGCTACAATTGAATCTTAACCTTTCTGCAAGTCTTCATCTTCATCAAATTTTGAATTTTCTTAAATCCCACTCAAAAACTTCTCTTAAAAAACAATTATTCCAAAAAATTTCTAGTAGTTAACAGAATCATCATTTATAGTCTCATCTAATAATTTCTCGAAGGGAGAACAAAAAGGTTCAAAACTTTCAGCAAATTTGGTGAAATTCCAACCAACATAAGTAGTAAAGACTGAAAAAATACCAAACAATTATTTAAAAAGAAAGGCCTGTCTTCTGCTTAAGGACTGCAAAGGCCATTACTTCTCTCAACTGCCAGAAGTCAGGGATTCCTTGGAGTAGCATTAAAGCCTTTTGTTCTACATCTCTCATCTTCACACACAACCAAACTTTGGTGAAAAATTCTTTCAAAATCTCACATTTCTTTTTCATGAGCTCATGTTTGCTCTTCTCCTCCATGAGATAGATAGATGATTTCTGAATGATCAAAGCTAGAGATGAGCTCAGCCACTCATAGCTCCTCCCTCTTTCTCATCTTTCTCCTCTTGATTAGCTTTCAGCTTCTTGCTTCTGCAAATGGTGATGCGGAAGCTGAGATTGAGAAGGTCTCAGGGAAAGACAAAGTGGAGGGAAGTCAAAAGTCAGCCAAAATTGTCAGATAAGAAGACAAAAAATACACTTTTGATCATCCTCTTCCTCACAAAAATAAGAACGCATAAAATATCCAAAATAATACATTGAGCAATCCATTAAGTATTGCCCTGCATCATTTCCTTTATTCTGAACGTCCAAATTTTCATGAAGATGATGCTCCTCC